GATCCGTTTCATGGCGGAGGTTGGTCCAGGGGGGGGGGCTACCATATATATATATATATATACATATAAAGGTATGTACGTATGTCACATCGTGATATAGACACATAACCTGTGAAACATATGGATCTGTAGTCACCACGCATCAGCCACTTTCGAGCAGAGCCAGATCAGGCCTGTGCTCAGCCCGGCAGTACGAGAAGGACTGGGACAGGCGCCGAATACATGGGGTTTAGGGGGTTTAGGGGCTTAGGGTTGAGGGTTTAGGAGTTTAGGGCCCTCCCAGCAGACGCGTTTGGAGGTTTTGAGGGCGCGCGGATTGAAGGTTTTCGGGTTGAGGGTATTCAGGATTGTAGGAAGGGTTTCTGATGCAGGGTTGACGGCAGGCTTGTTCGAACAACCCTAAGCCCTAAACCCCCAAACCCTAATACTAAAGCCCCAGAGCCCTATAAAACCCTAAACCCCCAAGACCCTAAAACCCCTAAACCCGAAACCCTCACCCGGACTCTCCTCTGGCACTCAATCAAACCAGGAATCTTCCTCAAAGCATCGTCGGGAGCCTTGAATTCGTTCGTAGTTCTCCAGTACGCAACCTTTGATTTTTTTGTGTTCTTCCAACTTATAGCAATCTGAATGTTTAACTTTTCCCTGGCTTATTGGGGAGCCTAACCCTAAACCCTATAAGCCCCAACCTCTAAACCCTAAACCCTAAACCCTAAACCCTAAACCCTAACCCTAACCCTAAACCCTCTAAGCCCCAACCTCTAAACCCTAAATTCCCAAACGCTCGCCTTGTGTCTCCTCGCTTCGGCGCACCCACGGCAGGTTTTCTGATCCGGTCCGCAGCCCGAGCCTCATCTGCTAGTCTTCTGGAACCCTAAATCCTAATTTGGGCTTAGGGTTTAGGATGAAGGGTTTAAGATTTATGAGGTTTAGGATTTAGGGTTTAGGAGTTATAGGGTTTAGGGTTTAGGATTTAGGGTTTAGGAGTTATAGGGTTTAGGGTTTAGGGTTTAGGGCTTATAGGGCCTAAACCCGACTTTCTGTGCAGGAGCTTCAGTTTGCACCTTACGCCCAACTCCTCAGTGCCCCGTTCCGGGCCCTTCAAAAGCCCTGAAACCGCGACTTAGCATGACCTATCAAGAAAGGAGCTCTAAACCCATCAGAAGGCGCAAGCCACGAAAGATACGTCGGTGCCTACTGTTATCTTCTGGACGAGGGCGACTAATGCTGCTGTCTCACCACAGGACCACAGCTTACTGGTAGTACTTCTTGCGCTAAGGCGACTACTACGACTATGGCGACGAAGACTGCCAGAACTACTATAGAAGCCCAAATAATTACCAATACAATTTTGGGTGGTCCTTCATTATACTTATAGTATAATGGGCACCAGAATCCTATTCTAAATATCAAGGCCCCGAGAACTAGGATAGTTGTCGTTGCTCCTAATACTCTTATGGAGCATGCCCTGACAATATTCTGCAGGGCCCTAGTCCCTGAACCCGAAGCCCCCTGAACCCTAAACTTGAAGCCCTAAACCCCCTAAACCCTGTAAGCCCTAAGCCTAAACCCTATAAGCCCTTACCCCTAAACCCTAAATGCCTAAGCGCCCATGAACCCCTCTCCGAAAACACGTCCGATCCTCACGGGACCCAAGAGCTCACCACATAGCCCTAAACCCTAAACCCTGAACCCCCAACCCTTTCCCGGCTCAAAGGGTCTCAGTACCAAGGTTGTTCGAATATATGGTTGATATGTTGGGTTTGAAAGTGTTCACATGTGTGTATACATATATACACACACACACACATATATATATATATATATATATACAGACATGTACATACCGTGTGTTTGTGTACATAGAAATGCTTACAAACTTGCTACTTGGACCCTTCGGGTCATTTTTTAACCGCCTCAGAGGCCCAGGGGGCCAGCTCTTATCTCTTCGGTGTTGGGGTCGCGCGCTCGGGATTCTGAGCCTCAACCCCACCACCGGCGCTAGGGTTCAGGGTATTTGAGGGTTGAAGAACTTGGGGAATACAGGGTTTTGGTTCTGAAGGTCATAGCCTACCCCTTTTATTTGGGCACTTGTCTAGAGGACCTGAAAAACGCGTGGAGCATGACCCCATAGGTAGGGTTTAGGGTTTACGGTTTAGGGACCTTAAAAACGGGTGGAGGTAGCATACTTGGGGTATCCTGGCGAGGTGTGGCGCCGCTGTGGCCCACATGAATGAGCTTGAGCCTTGCCTGGCTTTACAGGAGCTCGAGCTCGCATGGCCTTTCAATCAGTATTGTTATCAGTGTAGGGTTGCGAACATTGTTGCTCTTGCTACGATGATTCCAGTACTGTTTCGGGTAGTATTATTGTTATCATGATTGTTATTATCACTGCTGTCACTTCTATAATTACGATACTAGTATAGTGCGATTACTACTACGATCACGATTACTATTATTCTGATTATTGTCAGTACTGCTGGTGTAACTTTTATTTGGGTTCTGGCTCGGGTATGCGGTTCTGGATGTGAGCTGCACAGGGGTCAGCCCGAATTCTCGGCATGAGCGTATACCCAAGAAAGGCATAGAATCATTCATGTCAGGCAAACCCTGAATTTGGAATGAAGGTCCGCGTTTGCTGAGCATCATGTCTCATGTACTAGGCACAGAGCTCTCAAGACGTGAAGCTTATGGTATCATGGCAAGGCTTCGGAGGTGCCGGCCCCCATCGGTCTGGGAGTTTCTAAAAAAGGTACACTTAGAATACGGAACCTAAGTCATAATAACCTTATGGTACTTGAGTCCTAAACCCTAGACCCTGAACCGCAAGGACCCCGCCATGAGCCTACTTCTTTCCCTTGAAGTGTGTTGCAAGATCCGGAGACACGCCGTCCGGCCTTAGCCCCACAAGACACTCAACCCTGCTTTTGTCTACTTAAACGATGATAAAAGAGGCCGTCAGAGCAAGCTAGTCCTCAAGTTGACACGGTCATTCGCCAGGTAAAGCGTGCGACAACAGCAATCAAGAACGATATCTCCGGCTACCCTGCAAAACGATAAGGGCAAACATGCTAGAATAACAGAACTACACGTAGCGGTTAAGCAAATGGGTGAGTTGTTCAGGCGCCCTCGCTTTCCTTCGAGGTATCAGGCCTCAACGCCCGAATCTCTAAAACTCGATTCCCAGTGCCTTGCCGGTCCGACATTGAGTTCCTCCCAGGGTCCCTGTACCCCTGGTAATATGTTCTTCGGCCTTAAAGTACATAGGGTCATTATAGGGTCTACTTTAGGGCCAAAGTATAAGCTATAGGACCGCAGACCCTAAACCCCTAACCCCCTAAACCCTAAACCGTTCGGGGTACAGGGACTTGCCCTTCAGCGTACATACCTTGCCTACTGAACAGACTACACCCTACATGTTCCCGGGGTCTTACAATGTCCTGATTCAAGCTAGGAGCTTTCAAAGCCTTGCTAACGAAAGGTTTTGGAGGGGTTGCTGTAAGGGCTGCTCTAAGGTAGTATACGGGTTACTATCGTGTTTTTTCTTAATCGGATGCCTTCTGTACTTCCGGTCACGCGTAGGTTGGGTCTGCAGTCAAACATTTCGGCAGGGTACTTTTTTAGCTATGTATGTAGGGTTCCGGTTTGCTTACTGTAGTTGTAGTTGAATATACCCCGCAACCCTGGGTTCACTATTTGGGCCCCTGCACTAGGGCTGAGGGTTGCGAGGCATCAATGTCAAGTGGGATGGGGAGCTACAGCACCTTAAATCCTCTGGTTTCAGGGCTCAGGGGTTGCAGCCTAAACCCATTATAAGGTTAGAAGTATGGGCCCCTAATAGGGACCCTTAGGCCTTTCTGGGGGCCCTTAAGGGTACATATAGGGTATATAGCAGGTATATAAGGATCCCACCCTTAAGGGCCCATGCTAGGGGCCCATGGTTTCAACCTGAGACCTTAGAGCATGGAAGTCTGCAGACAAGTGCTTCGGATCAATGATGGCCCCTGAGCTTGTTAGGGAGCTGTTGACGAAGCTTTCGGCCAGGACCCCATCAACTGCACCACGGCTACTGAGACGATGAAGCAGGAGACGGCTAAACCCCAGACCCTCCATCTTAAGCTATATTATACCACGAGCCCTAGCGTACTCGTACTTAACTGCTCAACCTTGAAACCCAGACTACTTTCCCGGGCATACTTAGAGCGGCCTTTGACTTGTTGGGTGCATGTGCGGTTGTGCCCTGACTCTGCTCCCAATGCTCATACTTGCCGCTTGTCGTGTTGTTTTAGATCATAGCGTTTGGCAATGTAGGGGCCTAAATCAAGCATTACCCATACTCTACTAGTTTGGGCGTTCCTTATCATAAAATGAGTAGATAGGGCACCAAGACCCTATTTTAAGTATTAAGTCCCCTATATGACCGGATTCCATGAGACGGTCTGAACCCATTGCCCTGACCCTCAACCTTACCACCGCTCTCCTACGCCTCATAGCCTAAGGTTCCCTCCCAAAAACCGTGCAACCCGTAAGTCCCAAAGCCCGAAACCTTAAACTCATAAGGCCAAAAATTCTAAACTTTAACCTCGTAAGTCCCAGAACCCTAAACCAAAAGGTTGACTGGGTTTCGGCCCTGCCCGGAAGAAGGTCGATGCCGGAAAGGGATTAGGGTTTAGGGTTTGGGTTCGGAGGTTTTGAGTGACCCGAAATGTCGCTGCTTCAGGGGCTTAGACACAAGAAACTTGCAATCTAAGTTTACACCCTTCACAGGGCCCCCTGCCTCTAAACCCCCTAATCTCTAAACCCCACAGATGTCTTGGCCACGGACGCAGGAGATCTCGGATGTGCTCGCCTTTAAGGAGATGCTATCTGCGGTGGAGAGGCACAGAGCTTGAGGTCTTTGTTTAGGATTTCGGGTGTAGGAAATTAGGGGTTTTGGGGTTCAGGGATTTAAGGGTTTAGGGTTTAGCGGTTTAGGGAAGTTTGGGGTTTAGGAGTTTAGGGTTAAGGCTTGAGGGCCTGGTAGTAGTGGTAGTGGTAGTGGCAGTAGTAGCAGTAGCAGTAGCAGTAGCAGTAGCAGTAGCACTAGCACTAGCAGTAGCAGTAGCAGTAGCAGTAGCAGTAGCAGTAGCAGTAGCAGTAGCAGTACCAGTAGCAGTAGCAGTACCAGTACCAGT